ACACTTCGCCTGAGCGGAAACGACGGATGCTCAAGTGGAAATTCACAGAGAATCGAATTTACAATTGTGTAAGAAGGAACCAAATCCCGGAAGGATCTGCTTTATTGAAAGGATAAATCAATCGCGCAAGGTTTTATTTTTTATAGTCTCATAACCGTCGCTAAGAGACTGTATAACAATAATGTATGGTGATAAATAGACGATATTTGATATTAAAATTATTTATAAGGTAAAGTCGACAACCCCCGCACATAAATGATGCGTCTGTAGGATTGGATCTACATTGTTTCTGCACATTGCATTACAATACCCAGTCAATAAATTTAAATATTCACATTTCAATATTGGAGCAATACTCGCCATATTTAGTCGCTGCATGAATTACAGTTAACCAATATCGTTTCAATATTGTTTGCTATTAGGGGTAAAACATCCTCGAGAGAAGTGGATCCATGGTGTCCAGTATATTATACTCTCTCCTTAACAAAAGACCGAAATGGATCGGGGAAGAATTACGATGCGTACTTTGAATTTAAATACAATTACGAGTCTGCACTATCATCTTTGGCACTAACCCAAGTGCGTTACGTCCCACGAAGGCTCCCTCTTTCCAACGAAAAGTGCACTTTATCTCGGAAGCTGAGATTGGAGATGAATTTTTAGTAACGGAGTACATCGTCGTGCAGAAAAATCTAATCGAGTTAATTGAAAATTTAATTTATAGTGCGCCGTGAGGCTATTAGCGATTGATTGAATTACTAGCTATTCGAGTAGGCCTTGAACGATGTGGCGGCAATCACTATACCAGCGCATAGGGAGTCGCAGTGGCATAGTTACCTCGAAAGGCGGATGGGGGAATATTAGCTCGTCTTTACCGAAAGGGGCAATAAGAATGGTCCAGGTGGAGCAAGACGCGTTTCCCTCGATTGATTGAATTACTAGCTATTCGGGTAGGTCTTGAACGATGTGGCGGCAATCACTGTACCAGCGCATAAGGGCAATAAGAATGGTCCAGGTGGAGCAAGACGCGTTTCCTTTGATTAATTGAATTATTAGCTATTCAGGTAAGCCTTGAACGATGTGGCGGCAATCACTATACCAGCGCATAAGGGCAATAAGAATGGTCCAGGTGGAGCAAGACGCGTTTCCTTTGATTGATAGGATTATTAGCTATTCAGGTAGGCCTCGAACGATGTGGCGGCAATCACTATACCAGCGCATAGGAATTCGCAGTGGCATAGTTACCTCGAAAGGCGGATGAGGGAATATTAGCTCGTCTTTACCGAAAGGGGCAATAAGAATGGTCCAGGTGGAGCAAGACGCGTTTCCTTAGCGAGGCAATTGGGACAAGGGCGAAGTTGGTGGATATCGAGTTGACGAAGTTGGAATGAGCGAGGAGATGCCAAAGAGGATCTACCACCCGCCGATAAACCGCTTTGCGAGCCTGGGCTTGCCGATTTATCTCCCTAAATGCAATTTAACTCCGCCGCTAAAACAATTTCACTTATCTTAATTAACTGTAAATAGATGTGTGGCCACGTATGCGTTGCACGCGCGTGCCCGTGCGCGTGTTGGTGCATAGGTATGTCGCGGCGGTGCAGATAAATGCAGGTTGCAGGATCGTTACGGCGCTACGACTCGAAATTCTTTTGCTTTTCAGCCAGCATGCTAATTGCTGCTTTACCCTCAAGGATTTTGCCGGAGAGGAAACCGCTGAAAAAGGGGATTGCAAACGGAAAAGATGCAACTTTAAGTAGCACACCGAGTAGGTATGCCGAGGAGTGTAATAAAACGAATTCCAGAATTCAGGAGACGTTTCCAAGAGATTTCCTCCTATCGCTTCTTTCCTTCGAACTTGAAATCAAAGGACTCGCATACAGTGATATGGCTCGTGTCCAAGTCCAAGGAAAACCACCGAGAGCTGCTCTCGGACAATTCTTATCGTACCTTGATAATAAAGACACTATCATTTTATAATATTTTTCTTGGAAGTTTTATTCAGACACAATATACTAAATTTTCCAACATAGGTGCAACAAATTTATAGAATGTATCATAATTTTAGAATATAAGTGTATTCATTTTCCCACACAATTTTACAAGGTTTTAACACGATGTCACCAAATTGTATGTTCATTTGTAACGAATATGTACTAATGCACTTTTAGGACATTAAATGTATAATTCTACTACATCCTTATGTACTAAAAATGTTATGAATATCTCTAATAGGGTAGTGTACACGGTTTTGAAAGTGAACGTGCGCAAATTTATTGATAATGTACATGCAAATTCATGCTGCTCTAACAAGGAATGTCGTAAATTATTTGCACGTGGACACCAGCCATTACATTTACTGGTTTGACATTTTATGTGGGCGTTTTTACAAGGACTTGCATTCGATTCTTAATAGTTCAGATAATAATATTTATTTATGGCTGTTGTGTTAATGGCGATGTGCTCTATATAAGCAACCCACATTAAAACAGCGGGAAGCCGATGTGGACTTTAAGCCGAATGGAACTTGTTTGTTTGAAACAAGTTACACAAGGTACTTGGCACATATATAGCTGATTTCAGTTCTTTTATGATTAAACGTATCCGATTGTTTATGTAAAGAAATTACGGAAAGTTACTCAAATTACCACTGCATTAATAAAAATCTATTTAGCAGAGATTAACACCAGAGGTGTGTTTGTTGGGATTTAGATATTTTTCACATTTTCACGGAATACGAATGTTTACGAAAAGAACCATGCAATAGCAAAACTGATCACGTGCATAATTTTCATTCAATTTTTAATAGTACTTTTGACTCAAAACGTGAATAGCACTATCGCGTTGCGTGACACTCAAATGGTTAGTAACAGTAAGAAGAATTAAAATATTAAAAACGTCTGTTTGCACCATTTAAAATATCTTCTGCATTTTTATTCTCTTTGAGACATAAAATACAAAGACAAGAGCCTTGCTGAAACAAGAATAATCAAAAACAAAAACGTATTGTATTTACTTCTAGAGCTCATTACTGATACTGCAAGGTAATTATAGCCTTCGTCTAACTACTCTTTTGGATAAAAAAGTTTGGCTATTAATTTCTATTTCTGTCTTCTTGCGTTATAACTCATTAATTTTCAGAGTATATTTCTGCAAATGGTTTTATATGGGGTAATCCACCTCAGGAATATAATTAAAAACAGCAGGGTGGCGGTGCACCACATTTTGGTCTTGGGTACCGTCATCTGTACCAGATTAAAGTTGAATAGGTACAGACATGCACGTCGAAACTGCTACTTCGTACATGTACAAGACCGTCCACCTTTAATTAACAAGTTCAACAGTCGCTTCCGTGGACAACGAGTGTACAAGTGGTTAATTTAAAATATTTACCACCCTGGTTCTTCACCAAAATTCAATTCCGTTGCCCTTTTAATAAAAAAATCCTACTTTAAAAACGACATTAGGAAGTTACAATTACCTAATTATGTATAAACTACTTATCTGCTCACTAGTGTAAATTTCTAAGTATTTATTGTTTGAAAAGTTTGAAGTTGGTATATTAATATATATTGCATTATAGTGCATTAATATGCACTGTACATAATTTATCTTGTATATTACGGTGTTATTTAGGTCGGTTTTTTATTGAACATTTTTTAAAACGTTTCACAAAAGTCACCTATTTTTCCAAGTTCTAGATAAAAAGACTTACTTGACGTATTAAATTAAGGAATAATTTTTCGCGGTTTTAATTACGTGACGTTACATTAAAACCGCGGGAACTTATTCCTCAATCCAATGGAATCAAAGAACCAATCGATCCTTTCAATAAAGTACTAAAACGAATATTTATTGTCGTTCTACTGACAACTCAGTTTGATGCATGAGCGATTGCCTTCGACGTAGACAAAGAGGAAAACGGAAAGTTAAAATAACCGCGTTTGTGTTATCTTATAAAAAATTGAAATTCCGCGGGTTATTTGGATAGGTGAACCGCCATCAAATTGAATGAAAGAGATCAGGGTGCTATGGAAAAGTATCATATTGATTTTCACAGGAAGCGACGAAATTTTGGAACCGGCCCTTGCCAGACGTAGTCCATTCCAGTTGGGACAATTGGTCGGCTCAAAATACACAATGGAAATTCGGATAATCCCTAGATATCCTATGCGTTTGTTTGCGTTGCAACGAATAAAGTTTATTAATAACTTGAAATGTTCCACTCTGCAAGTATTCATCTTCATGGTGAATGCATCACTTTAGATGCATTTTATGCAATTTCATTTAATCAATCATGACCGACAGAATTTGAGACGAGGTCAGGTGTTTTTTTTCTTCTTTTTAGTAATTTATACGAATTACGCTCACATGGTCGATAGGCATCGGCCTAAAAATCAAAATTATTTTTGTATCCCCGTGGTTTCTAGGCGGTAAAATTTTAATAATCAGCAGAACATGCGACCAATTCGTTATTGTCGTGGAAGATGAGAATCGTTTGTTTCTGGATGTGATTGGTAACATCCCGAAAGACGAAATGATATTTATCTTCATGGTGAATGCATCACTTTAGACGAATTTAATGTAATTTCATTCAATCAATCATCTCGCTCGTAAATGACCGACAGAATTTGAGACGTCAGGTGTTTTTGTTTCTTTTCAGTAATTTATACGAATTACGCTCACATATCGACCTAAAAATCCAAATTATTTTTGTATCCCCGCGGTTTCTAGGCAGTAAAATTTTAATAATCATCAGAGCATGCGACCAATTCGTTATTGTCGTGGAAGATGAGAATCGTTTGTTTCTGGTTGTGATTGGTAACATCCAGAAAGACGAAATGATTTTCACGCAGAAAGGGAGATAAACTTTGGCCAACAAAGACTTTAGTCAGTCCCTCGCGAACCATATGGTGGAACGAGCTGGAAAAGCACTCCGAGGACGCTTCGATGCTCTTCAAGGAAGGTATCCATGAAAACTGATGGAGGAAGACCATCCTTACCTTATTGGTGCCTTGACCCATGTCGAGCTTGCGACCGTAGCGACCCTCGCCGTGAATCCAATCATGAACCACCTTCTGGATCTCTGGCTTCTCAGGGTCGACCAATCGGAAGGCAGTAATATTGGTCCCACCGTACTTGAATTCTTCCAGGTCAATGGTGTGCAGGTCCTGCAAAGAAAAAAACGGAACATTTCATAGATAGATGCACATGCGATTTCGGCTGCTGCAAATTGAAATCTCCGGACCCTTCCAAGCTGACCCTAGTAGCACAAAATATTTGTCCTATATTTTCTATATATTTAACGAATATCGTACATTTTGTAAATATTTAGCAGACATTTGAAATATTTGCAAAACGTTTACTTTAGNATCTTTAAAAATCTGTCGCTTCAGATATTTAGCAAAGATTACAAAGAAATATTTAGAAATTATTCTGTGCTACTAGGGGGATAAGCATCGAATCGTTTCAGGGGTTGGTTTGAATTTTATATCCGTATCCAGATTTCAAAGAAATGTCAGATTATCCGAATCCGTCTAGCTTGATTACAGACGAAGATGGGAAGTATTTAGAAGTATTTATTGAAGAAAAATCATGCGTTAAACATTTCCACAAAATTGTTTTAATGTTTAATATAACCCCCACTTGGATCGATAATAGCCTGTATCCTTCTTAGCACGTTTCGGCTGATTTCTTTTTCCATCAACATTCAATTAATTATTGCTCATCATCCAAAACTTTTATTTATGCGTCAATTAGTTTCGTTTCATGTGCAGTATTTTCTTTAGAGATTTTCTTTTTGACAAGTTTACAGACATCCTGGGTGAAATTGACTTTCTGTATTGCTCGCATTCAAATAAAAATATTTAAAGAGGAAGAAATAAATATGTGCATGTAATAATAAGGGTTGAATATGAATCAATTAGAAGAGCTATAATGTAACAAATAAATTGGCCACGGACTGTATACATTGGAAGAAATAAATGTTTTAAATTTCATTTTAAAATATTATGCCATTATATGTAGGTTTTTAATAACAAGTCGAGTATCACGTTTTTTTTTTCTTGCATTGTTGCTTTTACTTTTTCTGTGTTCCAGGATATCACATGAGCAAAATGTAGCGCAATGTTTCCTATTGCGCGATAGTAAAATGTTTATGGCCATCAATGCCGTTATGAGGGTATTTACTTGAACTTTAAGTATCATTTACTTTACCCTGGGTTAACGCCACGCAAGGCCGCACTAAATCGATTGCTGTTAACCTATGTAGCAGTAGCCCGGTTGTAAAATGTAGATATAATACCTAAACAAAGGAATAATTAAAGCAAGTGGCACCCATTCATAATTTCCATGGGTACATTGGAATAAAAGACACTGTGCACCGTAAAAAGTAATTAAGAAACTCGGTAGAGTTTCGCGCCAAATACATATAGGCACGAAACACTGACCTTACTCACTATCTGCGATGTTTAGCCTGGCTCGTTAATAATTAGACAGATATTAGATAATTAGACAGAGAATGTCGTTTTTGAACCTCATGAATGAGTAATGCCAACTTTAACCAGTCATAGAAATTATTTATAATATTTTCCCTTTCGAGCGAGTTGATCTATAACGAAAATACACGGGGGGCCATTCAAATTGCAAAACCTAAAGATAGCAAAGGTAAATCCACCAAGTTTGTGAAAAGGACTCATTACGTCAGAATAACAAACGATCATAATTTCAAATACATTCAACAATGAGTATGTAAAAGACCTTCCTTATGAATAAAACGTATCCGCTGTAGCAATTAACTTTATGCACTCAAAGCCTTTTCCGGTGGCAACTAATAGTCGCCTCCCAAATGCAAAGGATTAACGCTATGAATATAATTACTTTTTAATATTTAAGGTGATGTAAAAGTGGCTCTAAAAAGGCCTTGCTTATGAAACTTTTCTCCGAACTGGGAGTCCCGAATCGTTTCAAACTTCACAAAGTGAATATGGAGGCTATGAGGAAGGTTTTGAGGGCCATGTAATTTCAACTTTTTTTTAAAATGATTTTGAAAATTCTGTTTAAGAAATGAAGTTTCATGGGGGTCAGGACCTTTCTTATAGCCTCCATATTCATATTATATAGTTTGAAACGACTCTGTGGAATCAGTTCGGAGAAAAGTTTCATATGTCACTTTCATATCCCCTTAATTCTTGATGTTGCCACTTTAGTGAACATTAGGGTGCACATACGCATTGTAACTTTCATATCCCCTTAATTCTTGGTGTTGCCACTTTAGTGAACATTAGGGTGCACATACGCATTGTAACTTTCATATCCCCTTAATTCTTGGTGTTGCCACTAGTGAACATTAGGGTGCACATACGCATTGTAACTTTCATATCCCCTTAATTCTTGGTGTTGCCACTTTAGTGAACATTAGGGTGCACATACGCAGTGTCACTTTCATATCCCCTTAATTCTTGGTGGTGCCACTTTAGTAATCATTAGGGTGCACATGCGTAGGTGAGGGAGGGATGGGGAGGAGGGAGTAGAACGTACATCACAAATGATTCACACACTTAAAAATCCATCAAACTAACAAAAAAGGTATCCCATGTGTCTCTCGCAGAATTAATTCGCTTTATAATGTGTTTACATAGACTGAGAAATAAAAGATACGTATTTTTTATATCGGCGGAAAAGCACTTTAAGGCGGTGAAACAGCACTTCGAAAATGGGGGTGTCAAGTGCCCATTTCATCGTTTCGGATATATAAACCTAATCTTGTGATGAAGAAGCGGTGCGGGACGTTCAGGGGTGGTTACTCCGTAAATGTCGTTCTTCCAAAAAGTCCCAAAATATGTGAATTTAATTTCTCTAGAGTAGACTACCGTATGACGCGAGATCTTACAATGCTAATTCCTATAACGCGCCTACCGTTTTTATATAAAGCGATTGGAACGGTAATTTGATAAACGTGAGATAGACGCAACGTCAACGTTGAATTTGGTGTAGGAAGGGCGGACATTAGAACTCATAAAACACGTTGTGCTACTTCTCTACGTGTATTACCCTACTTTGTGTTTATTGGAATAATACTGCAATTGTTGTCGGGCAATGAAATCGAGAAGTGCATTCTCAAAAAGTGCCTACTATTTGCATATTACGTCATTTAATTGATAAACGTGGGATAGACGTAACGTCAATGTTGAATTTGGTGTAGAAAGGGCGGACATTAGAACTCATAAAACACGTTGTGCTACTTCTCTACGTGTATTACCCTACTTTGTGTTTATTGGAATAATACTACAATTGTTGTCGGGCAATGAAATCGAGAAGTGCATTCTCAAAAAGTGCCTACTATTTTCGTGTGACGTGATTTAATTGATAAACGTGAGATAGACGTAACGTCAACGTTGAATTTGGTGTAGGGAAAGCGGACATTAGAACTCATAAAACACGTTGTGCTCCTTCTCTACGTGTATTACCCTACTTTGTGTTTATTGGAATAATACGGCAATTGTTGTCGGGCAATGAAATCGAGAAGTGCATTCTCACAAAGTGCATGCGGATCTGTCGTTCGGAGATACCGGTGATGGTTTGCAGCAGCATCCGCCGTGCCGGCCTTTCTAAGAGCGGATGTCATAAGCGTTATGGCCAAACTAACAATGACTGCCATCGTAAATGTAACAATTGCAATAACCCTCGGGTTTATCTTTCGCGATAATCGTAACGAGGTCCTCGGATTCCCCGAGAAAAAGGAGACGCTGATCGCAAAAGTTAGGGGGGAGCCGAGACACGGATTGTCGCAAAATAAACACGCCGGACTCCGTTAGTAAATCAGTTTAGTGGTGCCTTAAACTAATAAAGGACAATTTAATGAAGCCTGGCTTCCGACCTAGATTCATTAGGGTGCCGACCTCCGGGTAAATGCTTGCGGTGGATGGTCGTCCTGCAAGAAGTTCCGACTTGATGGACGACATCCAGTCTCCTTTCATCGAGTCATCCACGCTGAAATAAATCACAACTAATTGCTGGGGATTAGGCCGAAGCTTGAAAGCAGAAAGCGAGCTATAAACCGTGCCGAGCTAGATGTCTAGAAAACAGCTTCCAAGGCGAGGAATAAATTGTTCCAGAAAGAGCCACATCTCCTGTGTTTTCTATTTCATTTACGGAAGCGTCTTTCAAGATGGTTCTTCATCAAATTGGAATTAGGTAACGATGAATGGTAATCTCGTACTCTGAGTAAGATATCATAGCATCCTTTACATATTCTCACGTAAAGACGTATTGTTGTAACCATGACAAGAACTTCTGTACGTGCTACAACTTTAGGAGAGTTTGACCATCGTGGCTCCAGCAATAACCACTAAATTATATTAAATATATTGTGGTTCGATGTATGTTTTTCTGCCTTACATCTTCCAAAGTTACGTTTACACTTTAGGAGTGTAACTATACTGGCAAGGGTACAACCCAAGAAAATAATTAAGGCAACTTAACGTAATAAGGCCCATGCTTGTTTTTCGCCATATAGCGAAAGTGCAATGTTTTGTGGCTCCCTCTGCCAGTTAGTAGGACAAAGAAGTGTCCACTGGGTGTATTGGGCCGGGACTGTGGACAAGTCAATGGTAAACTGAGATTCTAATATAATAATAAATATTTATTAAATATTTCTAAGTGAGTTTTATAAAATTTGGTTGCTGCGTTCAAGCTGTTTGTCACAAAGTTTTGTGAAGTCCTGCTCTGCCTAGGAGGTATGTAGTACCTTATACTTTTATCTACGTACTGTTGCATTAGTTTAGTTGAAAAGGTTTGTTGTTTTAGAAATAATAACCTGGAAATGTAAATTGCGCCGAACGGGTAACAAGACCCGACCTAGTGCAACATAGCACAATCAAAGATCTTTCTCAAAATGGACAATAGACTATGACTAGTTGCAGTAAATACAACGTCACAACATAAATTGAGTGAAATACCTTAAAAAAAACAAAGTCTGGTACCTCAAAGAAGACCGAGAACTGGTACCGCAGCCTTTATCAAGAAAATAGGGTTGTCGATATGCGGCAACATGCCCTATGCAAGAAATAGCTTTGCGACGAATGCCTGAAGACAACATTCGAGGATCCTGATGACATAACTTGCCCTAAGTATGCAAATTAATGTGCGTCTTCCCACCGATGTCCGTGGGCCTTAATTTCCGAAATTTAGCAAATTTATTTCTTTTACTTTCTATGCATAAATTACGGAAAGTTGTTTCATGATCATTAATTAATGACATCATGCCGCCAGGCTGGCGGCACCGACTTCTACGACGACTTGCGAATGACGCCATTGTGGCGGCATCGACCGCAAAGGGTTAAAGGAAAAATGTATAACATTTGTTACAATTGGCCCGTTTTACAATTGACCTCGCTCTCTCCTACTAGTTAGTTTTCGAAAATCGAGAGGCATCCCTTAAGGTGACGTGAAACCCCCCTTCAAATCAGTTGATTCGAATACAATACTTTTTTTTAAGGGTATTAGACCAAACTGTCCGAAACTTTGGCACATCACTCCTGATCATCTAAGAATTGTCCTGACACATTCAAAATTTGGATTTTTGGAAAAAAATTGTTTAACTCAGCCCAGACCAGAACCAAAATGGCGTCGAGCTCTCATATTTCGATCAATATACAATTATCGAAGGCTCGGATATGAGAAACGAAAGGGTCAGGACAATTTTACGACAATTTAGAACACTCTGGTAATCGATACACTCGCATTTGAACGGGATAAAGACAAAAAAAAGTGTTGTATGCGCTTCTATGCTAAAACGATGGTAATACGAGGTCTCGGAGTGAAAATTTAATTGACCTGAAAATCACAGAGGGCGCAGGGGGTCCCTCTGCAGTCAAATAGGCCACCAGAAAGCATGAATCCAGAGGATTTCTAGGGTTTTATTTCGATTTCTTTATAATTATTGTACGAAAGCGACAGGTGGAGTATGCCATTTGGTACAGTGCCCAATATAATTCGACACAGCTGTCAATATAAAAACGAACGTCGGCAATGTAGGCATTTAGAGAAATCTTCTTTATTGACGTCGATTAAGTTCCTTGATGTGTTTCACTTCGCCTTAAATGATGTTTGTCTAAAATGTGTCGAGTTTCTGACCGCAATGAATTAAACGTTGCAGGAAATCCTAGCCTTGTTACCGCATAATGATACAGTACCCTACTTCGCAAAGTCAACAGGCAGAGCGGAAGAATGGAAACCGCTTGTAGCACAAATTTCAGTGCTAATTTGCATTTTAATGGATCTAAATTGAAATCTAGTACGGGGGAAGTAGAAGGTGTGGCGATGGAAGGGGCGAAGGGAAATAAATTGCACAGTAAGCATGTCTGTTTAAAGTCCTATTCCGTTTCTCATTTTCTCCCGTTCAGAAATTTTTCGTCCGTCGCTTCAACGAGACGCAAACAAATGCGCAGACACGCACTTACCATTAATTTATTATGCCAGTGATATATCGGCCATTTTCAACGAAACATTAAAAGATCACCCTACTTTCTTAGCTCACCAAATAAAGCATCAAGACATGCTATGGGGGATGAGATTCCTGTTATTTTACTGCCTACGAACTGAAATTACCTTTTGAATAATTAGCCATGGTTCGGGAGTTAATGTGCTTTATTATACGTTTTTTATAGTAGTAAGTGGTGCCCATGCAGAATGATTTAAAGTTAATATATCTGTAATTATTGCAACCCCCATAGAAACAAATAATTTTGAGGTACAGCGGAAAGTCCTTAAGATGAAGTGAAACATGTAGACAAATTTTATCATCATCTGTAAAGAAATGTCTAAATACCTACCCTACGGACATTTGTATTTATATTGACAGCTGTGTTGAATTGTATTGGGTATTGTACTAAAGACCTCGTGTTACCTTCGTTTTATAATAGAAGTTCAAGACACTTCCGTTTCTCACATCAAAGCCTTCAATAATTGTATATCGATCGAAATATGAAAACTTGACGCCATTTTGGTATCGATATAAGCTAAGTTAAAAAAATGTTTTTCGAATGTCCAACTTTTGAAAATATCAGGATAATTATTAGGTGCTCACAAGTCATGTGTCGAAGTTTCAGGCAGGAAGTTTCGGTCCAATTCCCTTAAAAAAAAAGTCTTATTCAAATCGACAGATTTGAGAGAGTTTTCGCTTCACCCTAAACCATCTCAATTGACATTGTTCTTTATACCATCAATTCGTCATCGCAAAACCAACACTGGAGAACATAAGATTAACTTCCTTGGTTCAGCAGACTCTTTTCCAATTCCGGAAGTAATATTTAAAGATTCTATTGATTATATGACATCTTCTTGGAAGCACTTCGCCGTGGTGAATTCTGAAATGAACACTCAAACCATAAATCGAGGTCGTAAACCCCGAGTCCTGGTGACGATAAAAATTCGCCTTCTGTCAAAATTTTCCGAGTTCTTTGGGCAATGTTTTAATACGGATATTTTGTCAAAAAACACGTTTACTCTGTCGCCGTCAAATTATTTCGTTCCTAAATTGTACTTCAAACTACATTCATCCAATCAAACCATTCAATACCTTTATTTCTTTTTTTCAATTTCCGTGTTGCCTTTGGCAATCAAATTTTCATACGTGCACTCGCTTAATATATGTACACTGCATTGATTGTACACACATTTCCCAAGCGAATGCAACCAATTGTTCGACAAAAATGAAGGACTGGAATTTACGTTTACATCGCATTCGTTCTTATACCGCCTTTAGTATAAAGTTTCAATGTAACTATTATTGCAATTCACCATTACGGATTGCGAGTGAGCTCTGTGCAGGTCCCAGTAAAATTAATAAACATCAGCAATATGCATTCATTTTGAACATACGGATACATTTTGTATGAATTCATTTCCAAATAGCCATAGCTCGTTTCTGAATTTCTCACTGTAATACTACACGTGACATAGAAATACGTAGTTTTTAAAAATCTGCCATCTGAGCCCTAATGAAAAGTGCCAACAAAGGACTTTTTTCTTTCATTAGATTGTAACAAAAATGAATTAAAAATCGAGCAAATGAAGATACCGCGGAGATAAATTTTGAGGAGGATAGTTCTCACTATCTTAGGTCTAGCGTTTCTCTGATTATCCAACTAAAAATTCTAATTCTACTATAAATCCACGTAATCAAATTTTAAGAAAGACTTGCTTTGGTCCAATTTCACTCTTTACATCCTTCTTTTGACCTCGCACGTCTTAATACAAATTAAGTCCTATTTTAAACCTATTTAAGGTGATGGAAAAATGGAGTCAAGGAGGTCTCGTTTATGAAACTTATCTCCAAACTAGATGTACCGAATTGTTTTAAACCTTACAACGTGAATATAGAGGCTATAAGGAAGGTCCTGACGCCCATTAAATTTCAATTTTAAGACAATGTATGGATAGCAATTTTCGAAATTTTTTATAAAAAATGAAACTGGGAGTTTCAAGATCTACCTTAGGGTTTCTTTATTCATGTGGTAAAATTCGAAACACATTGGTACACGCAATTCGGAGATTACTTTCACGAACGATTGACCCTTCATATATGACTTTCACATCCCTTAAAATGGAAGAATCTTTCGACGAAGAAGAAAGTAGACATTGGGCGACAATTAATTAGATATCAAGCAAAGGAATATTCCTCAAATACGGGGTATCATTTCTCGCTTCTCCGCACAAAGAAATACTAAACTTCCAAAATGTATAAAATCTTATATTTGCAACATTCAACGAAATAACCACTTTTCTTTTGTTTTCGCATAACTCTCCAGATTTAGCGATTTCCAACATCGAGTTTAGGAATGGTTCGGAGTATGATAATCAAATAAGCTTTATTAGAGGAGAAAGAAAAGAGATTAGACAAATGACTCATATTAATCGTGATTCAAGACTTCGTCAGGATGATGCTAATCTACCTATTTATTATAGAGAAATGATTAGTTTGGGAGCCAATATATCCCGCTTTCCGCATGTCCTGCAAATCAGAGATCGAAGGTCCAGGTTCGCAAATTATGTTCAGACGCGATCCAGCATCCGTTCGGTCCTGAGGGATGATCGAAGAGATACGTGCTATAAGGGGTATGCACCGCCCAAACAGATGTGGCCTTTCATTCGGATTAAGAAATTTAATATGTAAGACGTCGGTAAGCGGTGCACCGACGGAAATGATGGATCGCGAAAATCAGGACTTACATTCTCCAACCCCTCGTAAATTCGCTTCCTGGGTTGGAGGCGCTCCTTTTGGCCCGGCGTTGGCATCGTCGAGTCGAACAAGATAAGTTCGCCCTTAATTGCATTCCTACTTAATTAAAAGGCTTACCAGGGAGGTGATGAGGTAACTGTGGTAGTCGCTCATCATTCCTATTTGCTGTGCCTGCTTCAACACCTCGTAGATGCGTTCGGTTGAGCAGTCCAGCACGATGTGCGATTCCGCCGAATTCTTTATCTGTTTCAGCAATGGCCTGAAAACAATGGACACGTTTAAATTTATCTACTTCTGCAGTGGCCAGAAAACAATCTATTACATCCTTTTTAGGTGACGCGAAACGTGGTATTTTCCAATTTTTTAAAGGCGTTTCACCCAATTTCCCTGACATTTTATCACGCGATTACGGAGGTGTCGAAGTCGCTCGTTACACTAAAAAACTTACAATATTCAGATAATAGTTTTTATTTAGTTTAGACCAGAGCCAACGTAATATCTTACAAGGAAGGTATCCCAGGTCGATCTCTCCGATTTGATTTCTTTTATAATATGTTATAGTAGACTAAAAACTAAACGACACGAATTTTTTTTATCTGCTATTAAACACTTTAAGGGGGTGAAACTACCATCCAAAGCAAGGCCAGTGAGGGGTAGCTCACCCCTTATTTTTTTTCTTTAATTAAGAAAATTATACTTTTCATTTCTCGTTATGAGAAAGCTTTTATAGGTGGATTGGTTAAAACATATTATGTTCCATGGTGAAACTGCCAAATCACCCTTTGACATGCCTTACTTTGGATGGTGGTTTCACCCCCTTAAAGTGTTTAATGGCAGATAAAAAAAAACACGTGTTGCTTAGTTTTTAGTCTACTATAACATATCATAAAAGAAATCAAATCGGAGAGATCGACCTGGGATACCTTCCTTGTTAGTGATATATTTTGCCAATATTTGTTTATAGAAAGCTCCAAAGTTACAATTTAGCGGGTCAGTAACCATTCTCAATAGTTTAAACAGGACAGTATTTAAAAAATGTTCATTTAGGCACGGGAAAAAGAAAAACAGCAGACTTTGTCCACTAAATGTTTACCGGTTATTTAGTATCTGCTACCATTTATTACAAATTAATGAATGTCATATTACTTAAAAAATATCGTTAAAAGATTTCACCCACGGTTTCGACGGAAGTGAATTATTCGATTGTGAACGAAATGGATGGAGTGCATTTTTGTGAACTGACATTCTTTTAATATTGATAACGGATCACAAATGAAGGGGATGCTCATTCTGTAATCAACGGACCATCTCCGCTCGCTGACTATATAAAAAAAGGTTATTTCATTGCACAATAATTCAACCTGTTCCAACCGAGAAGGTGAGTAAACTCGTTATCTCTGTCGGCACAATGTTTCGTCGTTGTAGTTTTTTGGTGAACTTTTTGGTGGAGTTCTCTTTGCTCGTCTTTTATTAGCATTAATCATGTGTACTGACATTGGTTAATCCGATATTTCGGCCCTATGGATCCCGGCCCTCGGATATTTCTACTCTGTTCTAATTTCCCGTATTGCCTTCAGCTAACTCTCTCCATAAGATCTTCTTGCTGCTGTTTAAGAAAGTTATCACTCCAAAGTGCTTCCGAACTTCTAATACCGGCGTCAGCGGTGCCGACATTGATGATCGGTTTTTGCTCAGAGTTGGTCACAGCTGCACACGTCACATCTGGTTTCAATTCCAAACGCATCTTTGGAGGCACATTCCTAATAAAAGTTTTATGCAAGCGCCAACTCCTTTGGCCCTCTCCTGGCCAGTGCCTCGAGCATCACTCCATCCTATGGTCCAAGTCGCGCGATAATGCGAATCTTCTTATGCAGCTCGTGAAAGCTCCCGGTCTCGCGAAATTCCTCCTGCTCCATACATAATTTAGTCGCTAGACCTTTCACGTCGGCCAACTTTTTCGTCGAAAAATTCTCCGCCAGGTCGTCCGTGTCGGGGTGTACACCCCTAAGCGACACTCGAGAATCTCGCACCCCTCCGAACAGGGATTCGCGTCTTCTGACCGAACTTTTCGTGAATCCCGTGGACAATCGGCAAGTTTAGACATCAAAGTTTTCGGCGCCTCGCAAAATCCACTATAGAGATTGCAACCGAAACAGGAAAGTACGACAAGAAGATCGGGAACGGATAATCCCTTCTCTGGCAAACATCTGATGTACATTTGTATAATGTCCTTTCCATAGATTGCACTTACGGGGAGAGGGTCATTTAAAAAAAGGCGACAAGAACGTTTTGGACCTCCTTCTTTCTTAATAGAAGCGGATATTAAGCGGAATGAATTCAGGTTTAGCATATATATTATGTTTTTAATAAATGGTATGGAATTTATAAAGAATTAAAGTACAAAGTTTATTCCAAGATTGGTATCGACATAAGACACATCTGTCAGGTTGCTACAAACTTGTTGCCATTTTCCAGCCGAATCCGGTGCATTGAAACAAATAAATCAAGAGGAATGTTGATTTTTATTAACCCTTTTCACTCGATGCCCTTGCCATTCGGATTGCCAGCGGTGACTGAGAGTCACCTCTCGGATGCAAAGGGTTAAATTTTCCATGCGATGTCCCACTAACGATGAAAGAAAAGTGACAATTAACGGTGGAGTATGAAGAAACGCGTCCTCGGCGTTGTTTTTAAAATTTCAAGCAAATCGACCGAACCGTATTTCTTTTCCAATGGCAGCAATTATGAAAAATAAAGTTGCGGGAAAGAAACGTTTGAAGTTTAACGATAACCGGCAGGAGATTTATTTCACTTCCAACGCGCGTGTCGGCCATGACTAATATTTTTCCATAGCATTTAGGAAAGCATATTTCTGATTCCCTCGCTCCTAAACATTGGATGTTTGGCGTATAGAACTCTGTACCATCTCATTCAAGCTCAAGTTCCTCGTGACTATCGACACTACGAGTTTCTCGATTGCGCAAAATTAAGCTAAATTACGTTTGATGAGATTAATTGATCATTTTCTACCGAAGATTTCGAGTCCGCGTATCGAAAGTCCCATATGCATTCTCCGTTCCGGTGAATAAATAACCGGACCACGTCCCATCCGCCTCGCATCGATACCTCCCAGTGGTCGGCGACGACTCGGTACCGGTACATACTACGAGGCGGAAACCACGAAAGGACAATCGCGAGACCTTCGGAGGGACGTCTCTCGAGGGCACGATTCTCGGAGTGTGGTACTTGAGGAGTATTCTCCGGTGCTCGACCCGGTTCAACCCGGACGTCGTCCGACGTACGTTAACCCTCTTTCTGGCTTTGTCTCTCTCTCTTTCTCCCTCTGTCTCTGTCTGCCTCATTTTCTGTGTCAATATCTACCCCCGACGTCTCCTCTAAAAGTTGCCTAGCTTGAACCCAGTATTATTTAACCTCTCGTCCGTTTATCCGTTTTTGGGTTAATTTACGTACTCTCCGTACACATATATATTTTGGGCAGTCGAGATATCAATAACGCATATTACTGGTTATCTATATATTTATTGGTATCATTATTTATTAATACGCTTCGCAGTTTAATTATTAGCTTGTTGCGCTTTCACGTTTCCTGAAATGAGATGAAATGTCATAATATACAGTATACTCGCAAAATAATCCCAACTGCATTTTTGGCTTGAAAAGTTAAATAAACAATAAATGTTATCTCTTAAAGTAACACGCAATCGGTTTATTACGCGCATCTAGTAATACTTGTCAAACATTATAATGGTCAGATTCAGTCGGCGTATTTCTTCGATGTAGCCATGGCTGAAATTCCTGATAAGAATCTCGATGGTCCAGCAAAAAGGCCAAGACTCTCACAAATCATAGTGACAGTAATATCCGACTCACGATCTTGGCCAATAACTTCCTAGAATTACCTCCTGGCGCCACATTTTTTTATTTACTTGCCATTTCTACATACATTCATTAAAGCCATTCAATAAATGTCAGTCCACTCTAAGTCCGACTTTACATTTCTCTGAAGAAACAGTTGTACAGCTGAAAGTGATACGAAAGTGACGTATCAGGGGTCAAATCGTTCATGAAACATGTCTTATTCGAATTACCTGGCTTCAGGCGGGTTCACCTTACGTCAGGGAAACTCTAACTTGAAATTCAATTCCGCTAATTACAACGTTTAATTTAGACTTCCATTTCTTTTGGTATACCTAACAAATGAGTTCCGTCTTCTGAAACTGGCTCTTATTTACTTACCAGTAAGCCAGAGTCTGGTAAGCTGAGTGGAGGCGCAGGAGCGATCGAAGGAAAAGCCTCGGAGAATTTTAATCAGGTGAGGACACCGAAGAGAATGGAGATGGGTATTCCTCGAGGGAGGCGTCGGAATCTTTGAAGAGTACGGTCGAAGATGAAGTAGGACGAACAAAGTGGGAAAGGTGAGAGGGCAGGGAAAAGGGGAAAGCAGGGTGATGGAAAGCGCGAAAATAAAGAAGGAACGAGACAGCCGGCAGTGGCAGGGAGCTCGGAGTGGTGGCGAAAATTACCTGTTTAATATTTGCAGATGCCATGCCATCAAGGTGATGACGGGCATATGCGATGCCCGCCCAGTGCAGAAGCTCGAAAGGGGGATTAGGGTAGACGGTTTTGAGGATTGGAAAACGGGAAGAATCGCCTAGACAGAAATAGACGACGGAAGGAACACAGTTGCCGTTTTTGCCGGTGGGAACGGTAAACCGTTTCCACTTCCCAAACGGGGATTGAGATTGGCTTCCTATGGGTTTTGCTCGATTCGCAAGATACCCCTGTGTTCTTTCCCTTGTTCTGGTTATATCGTCGGGGATCGGAATTCTGATGGATGACACGGTAGACTCCCATGTAACGCGAGTTCCTCCAACGCGGAGTCCTATTGTTTGCACTCTCTGAGAATGAGCCCTGAGATGAGTTCCTGGCGGGTAAATTCAGAGTTCGAGAATGTTATCACTTTGTTAGGATTGACAGAGAAAAAAAATGCCAGTTCAGTTAATTTAACGAGATCGATCTACCATTAATATTCTTGACTTTTGGTAACCTATTCGCTGTCTAATCTCAGACTTCCTGAATTTGTTTAATATTCCGTTTTGCCCGTTCTTTTGTGCCCCTTTCCAGGTTTAGATGGATCACAACAGGATTCATTTTTTTTTCAAGTCATCGTGGGTAGTTCATTGCCGCAGATCTTGCTGGACTTGTTGGTAAGAGATGTTAAAAGATGTTTGTCATCAC